AATAAATTACATAAAAAGTGAGAACTTTATATAGTTGATTTGACATTAACATTGATATATATATATTTTCAAATTTTTATGATATCTTCAAATTTATATTTTATTCAAAAATAAAATTATTATTGTTTTCTTAAAAACACATAAAATCGTATTATAACATCGACAGATACAAATAATAAAATAAACATTAAAATCGAGATGTATCTTGCTGCATTGTGCAAGTACCCTTCTAGTATTTATATATATGCATGTACAAATAAGTTCAAATGAAAACATTAATTAACCAAATAAAAGAATACGACAACAGACAACTCACGTGAAAAATCATATATGATTTTAGACTAAGTGTCAACGCAATATGTGCGGGCAACGCATGTGATTTACACATGATTTTAGTGTAAAATCACATTTGATTCGATCGTTTTCTAATTCTTTTATTTTGTTATTGTTTTTGCATAAACCTGCTGGACTATATATATCTATGTATATATTATATATGGATATTGAAGAGATATAGTCAAAGTTTAACTATTGTATAGCAGTACTTCCCTAAGATCTCATCAACATTAGATAGAGAAATCTCATGGGTTGTAGTCCACAGCTTTAGCCTTAAGCTTGCCGCTGTAAAAAATTCTTGTTAAGCTTGACGTTGTAATTCTTGTATTAGGATAACCATTTGATGGACGTCCGTCAATCTCTGTATGTTATTCTTGTTCACATCCAGTAGTGCTACTGTTGTTCAAACAAGACCAAAAACAACGGGTAACAATTGTTTTAGATTTTTTCATATTCATTTCGTGTCACCATGAAGTAAATATGAATCTCTACGATATATATATATATATATATATATATATTGCCAACAGTGATAAGGTCTTTGGAGGAAGCTTATTAGCTGCACAAACTACAAATGGATTCGTCATAAAGGCGACTATATGAAAGATAACTTCTAAACCCTAATATGCCAATATGTCTTTAGGAATCCGTATTTGTCAGCTCGACATATTACAAGTGCATGCAATTAGCTTAGAGATATATATCCTCTCAAACTTGACGTACATAGACGTATGAATGTCAATAATTAAGAATGATAGCTCTTAATTTCACTATGTAACATATATATATATATATATATATAATATTACTTGAAAGGGTTGGTGTAATCCTTGTTTCCTTCGCTCGGCATTTGATTCCACTCCCAGAGCCGCTCAGGAAACGTCACCTGAACTTCTCCTGCCAAGTTATTAAGAGCAAGAAGTGCTTGCGAGTTTGGTTGCATTTGCAGGTGTTGCTGCGATTGTGGTTGCAGTGGTTGTGGTTGAAGTTGCGGTTGCGGAAGCAAATTACTTGTAGAGAAATGGGGAGAAAGATTATTAGAAAATTTATGTTGATAGTTATGAATATGAAAAGCCTGAGAGGCTGGATTATTGACAGAAGCTTGTTGATAGCTTATGATTCTATGAAGATCATCCACAGAGTTAGGGAACACAGAGGATGAGGCGGTTGGGGTGCAATGGGGGATTAAAGAGGACGTTTGTGGAGGAAGCGTGGTGGCGATTGGCGGAAATGAAGTCATAAAGTTGTTATACGACGGATTGAGGGGACTGGAGAGGCCTAGAGCCGTTCCAACAAGGTCTGTGGAACTACTACCACTCGTTTCGCTCAATTTATCATCATTTTGGTTGGAATTTTGGCCTTCGAAAGAGTGGAAACTCAGCAAGTTTTGGGAATGCTGCTTCTTGTCGCCATGTGAACTTCTTGATGATGTAGCCCTAGTTGTTGGGAGTGTGCGAGGGAGAGATGGGTGGTCTTCTACTCCAGCTCGCTTGTAAACCCTACATAGGGAAATCTCAGCCTGCAAAACACAAATGGAATACCATAATTACTAGAACATGCATTCAAAGCTATAGCGGTGATAATGATCAAGAGAAAGAGACATGCATTTAAAGCTAGCGGTGATATTGGTCATCACTTTAGGCCTCACTTTAAATGTTGGGATGAGAAATAATAACCCCACATACCATAACCCAAATTAAGAACATATTCATTAAAAGAAGAAATAGGTTCAATTTTTCATGTTGATTTTGGTCTGCTTGTTTTAATCAGATTCTTCCTCTAACGTTGTCAAAATTTCTGTTTCTCGACTTATTTTTGATGCAAATAAGTTGGGATTTTCATGGGTATATGAAGCAACCATGGCATTATATATGACATTATTCATCATGAATATAAAATGTTATTCATCATAAATATTATAATATGTTCATCATTAACGTCTGCCTCATGATAAATAACACGTTCATAACAGGTCAATATTCTTCATCAATGTGTGATTCGTTATGAATAAGACTTTCTTATTCATTACCAATGTGTTATTCATGATTGATGAATATGAACACGTGACACGCTATGGATAGCAGAGGTAGCGTAGCAGGTTCTAATCGATTTTAGGTTCCTAAACGAACTTTCCCCTCTTCTCTACACACACACACACACATATATATATATATATATATATTGGTTTTAGGGTTTTGATTTCTGGGACTTCTTTCAAGTTTCGAAGATCTTGGATCACACATTATTGATGATTCCAGTGTCGTTTGTTTCAGAAGAAAACCTTTTTTGCTTAGCAAGAAGAACCGAAAATAAGAGACTTAGGTTGGCCATATAAGTAAAGAGAAATGACAGACCTTCTGTAACCTTTCGGTTTCTTGATGAGGCAAACGATACTCATTCATGATCCAACTCGTTCGGATGCCTTTAGGAGCCTTTCCGGAGTAAAAGACGAGGGTTTTCTTTAACCCAATGGACCTTGAATTCTCTGTTCGGATCATTCTATCAGCTCCAGTAGCCTTCCAGTAGCCTGAAGTTGTCACACGGTTTGGGCGATCTCCGTTGCGGTACTTTCTATCTCTTGGGACATAGAAAAACCATTCTTTCTCTCCAATTGCTGCCAACGCTAAAGCCAAATGCATAAACAAAAACAGCAAATTACAGATCGATATGCATAACTATTTGAATCAATATACATCATTTTACCCTAATGTAATCATGTCCGATGTCAAAGATAAATTCTTTTCAGTGGACTAATCAAGATCGAAATCTAACTACAAATAGGGTTCGTTTCCAGGACCAAAAACAGTTCATGTCTATTGAACAAATATATAGCTTATTGAGCTTCTTTACAACCATAAAATAAATAAAACCAAGAGAAATGGTAAGGAGAAAAAAGTTAGTAGTGGTGGTAGTAGAAGAGAAGGATCATCTTAGTTTTGAACTTGGGATAATTTATGATAGAATTCAAGATGAAATGCAAATTCCAGTAACAAAACAAAGTACACCATAAAATAATTAAAACCAAGAGAAATGATAAGAGAAAAAGTTAGTAGTGTTGGTAGTAGAAGAAGAAGAATCATCTCAGCTATGAACTTGGGATAGTTTATGATAGAATTGAAGATGAAATGCAAATTCCAGTAACAAAACAAAGTACATACTAAATACATAACTGTGCATAATTCAAATATTTGACAACCAAGATAATCTAACTCATTAAATTATAACAGATACCCACAAAAATGGTGAAATCAAACCTCACACACATCTTATTCATTAACTGGAAGAAGTAGATGATAACCACATATATACGATGATGATGAATAATAATGCATCTGCGGTTAAATTGAAGTGAAAATACCATAAACGAAACCAAATACACACAGTGAAAGAGAAACTACATAATATTTGCACAATTAAATTGCTAAAGAATCAATATAACCATGACCCACTAAATTCTAACAAATACCCACAAAAATGGTGAAGAAAAACCAGACACCCACATCCTCATCAGCTGGAAAATGAAGCAGATACGATATGAAAACCATGATGAGGAGGAGGAGGGTTAAGTTGCACTTTAGGTTAAGTACTTGATGACAGAATTGCAGTAAAAACTGGGCAATTCTTTAAGAATCATAACAGATTGAATAAATAGACCAAGAAAAAAAAGCTAAAAAAGACACAAATCTGATGGTAGGTAGGTAGCTAAAGAGCTAGGTTAAGTAAAGAAAAGGAGAACTGAAGGGGTTTATAGTAATAGTATACCAGGAAGTTCCCATGGATCATATCGATAAAGATCAAGAAAAGTGATGAGTTCAACATTGAATCTCTTGCCCTCTACCTTACGGCGAAGGTAGAATTCTACAAGCTCTTCCTCCGTTGGATGAAACCTAAACCCTGGCATCACCATGTCGTTTTCATGATCATCATCATCTTCTTGCTTATTCTGCTTCCTGTTACTCATCGCTTCCTCTTGGTTCATCATTCTTTAATTCTCCTACTCCCAAAAACTACTGATTGATCTTTCCTTTTATAAATGCCAATAATAATTCTCATATACCCCTCGCTTAAATTTAATTAATAATTAGAAAATAAGTCATATAAGTACAAAAAGAAAAGAAAAGGAAAACAAAACAAAGTGGACTATATAGTTGAAGATATAGATATGGACACATATTGTGATGTGGTTAATTTCTCTTGGAAAAAGGTTTATATCTACCTCTAAAAACTTTATTTTCATATACGATATATATATATATATATATATATATATATATATATATATATATATATATGAGACATTCAAGGAAGAACTGACTAGTTTGTGATAATCGTGAGATCCAATCTCAACCATAAATCAATAGATAAATTAAAAATTTATAATTTTGGTGATTTTAAATTAATATTTTAATGTAAAGACATTTTAGGTATTTTATTTCCTCTCTCCTCTCTCCTTCTCTAGCCACCATTCTCCGGTGAAACCATTGTGATACCTAAAAATATTGACTCTATTAAACAAAAGACACAGTGTGATATCCAAACACATATAAGATGCATTGTGATTAGGGGTAAGTAGCGGAACCGGGTACCCGGCTATAGAACCGGAACCGCCTTGGAACCGCCGGTTCCGGTTCCTAAAATACGGAACCGATTGAGAATGGTTCCGGTTCCGGTTCTCAATTTTTCGGAACCGTTACCCGCCGGGTACCCGGTATTTTTCAATAAAAAAATAATAATTATTTTTTAATACCAAATTTTTTAATACCAAATTTTTTAATACATCTTAAAAGCACGTCGTCATCTTCAATTTTCATCTAAATTCTTCATATAAAATGATTCGTATTTTTTCAAATTGTGTGTTCACTTGAATTCATAGTATGTAATAGTTAAATTTTGAACAATTACCATTATAGTATGTAATCGTTAAACTTTGAACATTTTCTATTAGTCTATTATGGTTTGTAATCGTTAATCAATATTTGTAACCATTATTCTGTATAATTTGTATTCTTGCTTATTTATTTAGTGTTTTGGCAATGTTTTATTTTTTATTTCTAAATAACAAATTTTTAATATTTTTAGGAAGCGGATACTCGGAACCGGAACCGGTTCCCGGCGGTTCCGGTTCCAAAATTTAAGAACCGCTCTAACCGGTTCCGGTTCCTGTCAAAAAGGGCGGGTACCCGCCTATGCTCACCCCTAATTGTGATACCACTGTGTTACATCTTCGATTGACCACACAAATGACTCCAGTGTGATACCCAATCACATATAAGATGCATTGTAATACCACTATGATATCACTGGAGAATGGTGGCTAGGGGACGGAGACATAAGAGAGGAGAAGGGAGAGAAAAAAATCTAAAATGTCCTTGTATTAAAATTTTAATTTAAAATGATCAAAATTATAAATTTCCTAATTTATCTATTAATTTGTGTTTAAGATTGGACCTTACGATTACCACAAACTAATATATATATATATATATATATATATATATATTAGGTTTATTTGATTCGATCTCATTTAATATTTTGATAAGCTCAAATTTTATACTTTTTGAAGATACCTATATGAAAATAGTACTAATCAAATTATACATCAATGCCGACATGTTAATTCTACGACAAAAAACATTTGTAAGTGTTGATTTTCTTTCTTTTTTGTTTTTTGGGAAATGTTTGGATTGTTAGAAAGCTGATATTTGTATTTTCTTTAAATCATATTCATGATTTCAATTTTGTATTATTTCTAAAATTTGTAGTATTATTAATTGAGCAATACCCAATAATACATTTATTGCCATGCCTGTGGCGCATCCAACATATTTATTTTGGATAAAAAGTAATAAAAAAATATATTTTAACATTTCAAAATATGTTTATTGAAAAGTAAATTGTAAAGTCGACGAAATCTCTTCGGTGTTGCTATATTATTTACCGACGAAGGCAAACACCACAAGGTCACAATCGACATATCAAAATTCATTTACCAACCAGCGAAAACCCATAATTCCATATTATTAGTTTATGAATTCGTACGTATTTGATTGACTGTAAAAGTCAAACATAACCATTCACTGAACCACTAGGGTTGTAACCACTTGAATAAGGAGTCATTATGTGATTCACATGATTGGTAGATCTATTTTATTCCCATTTCTTAGAGTCAGGGTTCATTTGTTTTACTTAATGAATCAGCTTGATAGTTTATCTGATCTGTCAATTACAATTACTTAATTAAACACTGCTTATTTTGTTTAACTATTAACAATTGGCGGAGTTGGATAAATTATTATCTATTTTGTTGTCAATATTAAGTTATTTTACTACAACAAATACTAATAGAAGACAACAACTATCCATCTTCTTCTATTCTGGTTATGGTGTTCAATTTTTAACAGATTTAAGATTTCAAAACAAAAATCACTGATTTATATATATATATATATATATATATATATATATGGGCACGTTCAAAACTAAACATTTTGCAAGAAATATATAGAGAAGTTTTAACATCATATACGATTACATACGTGATGCACAAGTTTAATCATATATAATTAAACACATACATTAAAATATATGATTATCCAAAAGAGTGTAATCATATATAATATTGAAACTTCTCGTATTCTATCAAAATGTTTAACTTCTCGTAAAATGTTTAACTTTTCGTAAAAAGTTTAACTTACCGCATAATCCTTCATATATATATATATATATATGAATAGAACAAAGCTTTCAAGAATGAGGTTAGCAATATACTTTAGAGGTGAAGAGTGCTTAAATGAAAGATGTACATAGGTTTTTGTGGGGCAACATTTAGAGGTGGTTTAAGGTAGAAAATGACATCTCAAAAGAGATGAACTGGGTGGACACAACCCCTTAGCGGTGGCTTTGGACCTTTCTTTTATTCCACCATTTATTTGTATTTCTATTTCTATTTGTATCTATATTTATATTTAATTAAATCATTGATTAATTATTATCATGTTTTGTTACTCTTTTATTCTATATTAATATCCACCACCTACAAGAAAATGATGGTATCCAAGTACTTGATATAAAAAAATAAATTAAATAAAATAATTTATAATTTTTGAAAAATTGTATAAAATTAAATTTACAATCATTGAATTTAAGATTTGTAGTTTAAAGAATGTTTACTTTAAATAAAATATTTTCTGAAACACCATAATGCTTCATCTATGTTACATTTGTATTGAATATTAAAACATATGAAAAAATATACTGTTAAATGTATTAATAGTTTTTTTTTTCTTCTGAAAGTAGGAGTGGAATAAACAATACGACTTTTTTTTTAATGTAATTCGACATAATAAGTTTTGTAATGATAAATCTACTTCTATTGTATTTCACATTTTAATATCTATAGTTTAAAGAAGTATATTTGCATATGGGTATGTATAAACATTGACTATTTTAGGAAGCACACGTTAATTTGTAGCCTTCCATTCATTTCTATTTCATGTTGGTTATACTATAATAAAATTGAATTTATATAACAATCATCAATTTATAAGCACTATAATAAAATGTTTTATAAAATTTAGTTTGTATAACCAAAAAATAAAAAGCATTATCTAAAAGTGTTATAATAAGTTTATGAAACATCTCTTACCGTCATAACAAGTTTTTGGACATTTTTATAAAGAAACATAGTATTCGTTATTTTATACCTCATTTGTTTTAAATAAGATACTTTTTCATATAAATAATTAAGTAATACGACCTATTTTTTATAAAAATGTCTTAAAACTTGTTACGATGCCCAAAACGTTTTATAAACTCATCACAAGTTTTTTGATATGACGGTTTATTTTTTAATCTTATAAATTGAGTCTTATGAAAATGGTCTATTTAGGACACTCACAAGTTTTTGACATCCTATAAATCCAATTTTAATGTAATATCAAGTCAATCTATTTTGACAACAAACCCGGAAATTAATCTTTTAATATTGGTTCAAAAAAACCTATCATTTTTTTAATGTAATTTCTTCTAAATTAAGTACTAAGTTATTCAAATTTTTTTTAAAAGAAGTAATATTCAATTGATAATAGTGATCTTTTTGTTCCCAACTAGTCATGAGTTCGAGTTTTGTCGGAACCGTAATCGTTTGTTTCATTTTGTACTGTCTGAGTTTAGTAAAAATCCATGCAAGGTGGTTCTTACATCAACTGTGATCTAAAAACACTGATGCAAACTAAAATTGGATTATTATTTTATTTTTTAAATAATTAAAAAAATGGTTTCGGTGGTACAGTATAAAGAGAGGTTGTAGAGAGAGTGGTGTGGGGAATTTTGGTGTGGAGTCTCTACTTTTATATTTTGTTTGTGTGTGGGTCTGCAATAGTCAAGTGAAGCCCGTGACCCCGATCACAACCACAAGTGTATGTCTTTCCATCTTTTTTTATCGTTTTTTCTTTAATTTAAAACAACTTTTAACAAATTTAATATAATTTTATGTCTATATATAAAATCTGTTTAAATCTCTCAAAAATATGGACTCTAGTTATATATATATATATATAGAGAGAGAGACACGCATATCTATATATATATATGAGGAAAATTCAAATACAATTATTTTTTCATTGTAAATTAGTGGAAAAATCTTGGATCTTAATCTTTACTTGATCTAACAAGTCACAATAAATAAATTTTTTAACTAAAATTGTTAATTAAGATAATTAGAAGTAAAAGTTGAAGTCCGTTTCAATCATGCTCACAGTTAATTCTATGAATTTTATTTTATTTTTTCAATTAAGAACTTTACCACCTTATATTTTAAAGTAAATTATTTTAACATACCAGAAGGGTATTCGCGTAATACAGCGATATACATCTTGATTTTAATGTTCTATTTTATTTTTTGTCTCTGTCGATGTTATACTACAAATTTTATGTGTTTTTTTTAAGAAAGTATTAATGATTTTATTTTTGAATAAAATGTAAATTTGAAGATATCATAAAAATTTAAAAAAAATATATCAATATTAGTATCAAATCAACTATTTAGAAGTTCTCATTTCTTAAATTATTTCTTTAAATTATCTTTTATTATAATTTAATTTAAGTTTAATAAGGAAGTAATTTATTTTTGGTTGAATAATATAATATTTATAAAGATAATAATTAAAGATTCTGTTAGAACT